ATTTTCTACAAGTAAGACAATCATTGAAATAGAAGGAGCTTTTGAACGGAATGTATAGAATGCAATTCTTCTAGAGAATTCTGTAAGCTTCAACATCTAGACAACAGATAAAAGATTATTCCACTTCTACTGTGAGAAGAAAATTCTTTTACTTGCAATTTATAAGCTTGCAGCTTTGATAAATGTAAATCATTCAATATTGAACCTAATATTCGTGCATTATCGAACATAATATTATATTTCTCTTTGTTCGTGTGCGAATAGCAATTCAATAAAGCACATTCGATCAATAAGTGAATTTGGCATTTCACATGCAGAATATCCAAAATGTATTATACTCATGATACCTATAATGTTAAGCCTTGAAACACACGTGCATTACCGTTAAGATTTATTTATAATTCATTAGCTTATGTTTATGAAGGTTATGATTAGTTTCACCAACATTGGTTAATTTCAATTATAATCATAGTTCAACTGTTTTCGTGTTTCTTTTATAATCAAAACTTTAAAGAATAAAGACCAAATTTAAAATTTTCTTAAGTAAATTTTGTAAGTAAATCATAATTAATGTTTGTAAGATTAATTATAAATCCAGAAAATTCAAATAAATAAAATAATGAGTTTTAATGAATGCAACTCATAAGCTTAAAAAATTTGATGGAACCGACAATTTTTTTGCTGCAAAATATTATGTTAATTATAATAAGTATAATGTTAATAATAATCATTTATATTATGCGTATTGCATTCGCAAGCAAGTTTTTTTCGAAAGCAAATTTTTTAAAGTAAAAATTTTTTAGCTGCTATTTTATAGTTACACGGCTGTTATGCCAATATTATAATATTTTAATTATAATCATAATAATGTAATATTCTGTATATGCTTATACAAAATAATACAATTAAGATATATAATTTTGTATATGTATTTATACTAACAATAAGATTACAATGTTTAAAAAAAAATAGAATGTTATAAACTAATACTGTTACACACAGATATTATTTTCGAGAACAGATGGAGTTATTTCAAATTGTATTTCATTGTTTGTTTTTATTTTTGTAAAGGATTTGGTTTACTTATTTATAAAAATGCAAAACAAAATTTTTGTAATAATAGTAAATAAAGCGATGTTTGTAAAAACATGATACTGCGTGATATTTACCATGACTAATTTCAGGAGTATTCTAAAAAAACTCGAAAAGGATATATGTGCATTTTAAAATGTTTATGTTATATTTTTTCTCAACCTTTTTTTAATATGAGAACTATACTGCCAAAGTTTTAATGAATAATTCAGTGACATTATGTACAATATATATATACCAAGTTTTGAGCGAATTTGATGCCAATTTGGCAACAATTTGTTATCAAATTGCTTACTGGGTATGTGTGTGGGTGTGTGTGTTAATATAATCAGTTATTCCCATATTATTTCAAAATTTGCCAGTTCTGCTCATTTTGTTGATTTAATAAAATATACACAAAGTTTAATAAAACATTTGCAAAAGGGAAACAGCCGTTTGAAGAAACTTAATCTCATTTAGATATAAATATATAACTATGTATTTTCTCATACGCGTATACATATTCATTGTAACATAATTTTAATTAACGTAAATATTTTATTTATAAATTTATAAATTGTAATAAAATATATACTGACAATAAGTAAAAAATAAAATAATAAAATTTGAGTACGTTTTTTTATTCAGACCAAAAAAAATGACATGAATATAAAATAAAAGAAAATATTATTATTATAACGAAAAATGTAAGAACAAAAATTGCTTGCGTATTAATGTTAGCGTAGATTGAAATAAATCGGCGCATAGAACGCATTAAAAGATTTAAATTTTTCATGCCAACGTACAGTGACGTTATAATCATATCTACTCTATATTCTCAAAGAGAATGTTTATAAGCTGATTGCAGAAGATTTCTATCTTGACAAGATAAGTTTGGTGAGTGACATTAGAGATATCTGTGGTGGACAGCGTATGCAAAAGTTAATAGCTAGTATGTAATAGCTTGCAACCTGTTGTACCTATGTACAAATGTAACTAAATTGAATCGGTATGATGTCGAAAATGATGCAGAATAAAGGTAAAAAAATTACATTAAATTAATCTATTAAAAATACGTTTATAACTATATGATATAATTAAGTAAAAGAATCTGTTAACATCTTAAAATATGCAATGGCATATGCAACGGTATTGCGCACAAAAATTGCAACAACTATCACATTGTGAGGATTAGTTACAGAATAAATAGATCAAATTTTTTTTATTTGATACATTATACATCAAAGCGTACATATTCGGGATGTAAAAACTCGATTTTGTTATAACATAATTATTATTACGTTTAAATTGAATTACCTCTAGGACTATACTAAATACTTGTATAATGTAATGCTTAATATTGCGTTTATATTGAAATTCGTGAGTTGTACGGAAGTGCTTAATTGATGTTTCTACACTGAGAAAAAAAAGTTGTTAACTTGACTAAATGCGTTCAACTAATTATTATTTCTTTAATTGAAATATTTAAGTATTTAAATTAAATACGACATATTAAATCTAACATGACGTATTTGACTTAAGTACTTAAATATTTCAATTAAAAAAATGATAATCAGTTGAACGCATTTAGTCAAGTTAACAACTTTTTTTTCTCAGGGTATATACATCTACGTCCAAAACGGACAAGATGCTTAATTATGCTACTTATGATCGCATAACTGCGCGCACTCGAAATATTTAAAAAAAGTTAAATTATGCAGTACTTTAAATTTTGTCATTTATTGTTACGCTTTCCAAGCGCTGGGAAATGGCAAAAGTATGTAAATATTTTAGTGGGACGAAATATACACGAAAGCACTCTGTTGATAAAAGATAGCTAACATAATTTTTATTCAATAAAACTGCAATATGTGGTCTCAACGTATTGCGTATAATACGTTACGATATCGTGTTATATATCAGGTACTTTTGCAGATACAGATGCTCATACAACATTTTAAAGAAGTACTTACATAAGCTACGTTCTCTCTCCGTAAAGTTTGATCTTATACTTTTCTTTCTCAAGAACATAAAAAAATTTAAAATGATGTTATTGTTCTTTCCTTTCTTGTTTTGATATATTATAGAATAAAGATATACACACACACATACATATCGACGACATATCTTATACGTATCGACGCTAAAAGCTATAATCTTATAATATATTATATATATATGAACATAGAAAAGAAATGTTTTAATCTCCACAAAATCTATGTTTTTATGACTTTAGTTTATAATTTAACTTAGATTTTAGAGTTTTCAATTTCAACGCTGTTGTTTACTATTTTCGATGTGCTGGGTTTTAAGACAAGAAAGCTTATTGTTAGTTGCAGCTGCTACCTTTCTCGTTGTTTTTTTTTGTTATCTTTTTTTTTTTGTTAAATTACACTTGTTTCTTAAAATACATTTCGTACATTTTATTTTTAATGTTGTATAAATATTTATTATCAAATTATTATTGCCAGTTAGCACCCAAGAAAAAAAAATTTATATATACAATTATATGAACTTTTATGCAACACACACACACACACACACACACACACACACACACACACACACACACACACACACACACACACACACACACACACACACACACACACACACACACACACACACACACACACACACACACACACACACACACACACACACACACACACACACACACACACACACACACACACACACACACACACACACACACACACACACACACACACACACACACACACACACACACACACACACACACACACACACAATGTGATATATTATATATACAGTTATATACATTTCTCCATATAATTAATTTCAATTTATTTATTTTTGATAAACAATATTTTTTATAAAATATATAGTATAAATACATATTTTTAGTATTGCAGAAACATTCTGTAAATTTCGTGTCTTATTTTTTTATTTTCGTACATTACAGTATTGGCTTTTATGAAAAATATGAGTTTTCTTAACTTTTTAAACTTAAGACAAAGTTTTTAGCTTGTTAGCGTATCTTTCGGAAAAAATATGAATTATTCCTAAAAAACTAATGTCAAGCGTTTCATCTAGTCTTTTCTTGATATACTATGTACTATACACTATGTACTATATACTATGTACTATAGATACCTTTATATGTTATTTACCAATATGTATGTACCAAGGTATTGCCGATACGTGGATACGATAAGCGCAATGACGATTTTCTTTGAGTTTCAAAATAACTACTCATATTCTAAATTCTAAGCGAACGATGCAACGTAATATTAGAAATCTAGCATGTGATACATCATGTGTATAGTAACACGATCATATTACACTACAGATTTTATATAAATAAGATAAAAGAAACGTGATACTTGACATTCTTTACATTTTAATTTAAAACAAATTGTTTAAAAATAGAATTATATTAATTAAAAATAATTGTTTAGAATAATAAACTCATTAAATTAAGCAGAAATATTTACCATAGTGTATCTTGCTAACGAAAGGCAGCTTTAGTTTTTTTATAGTAAAATAATTTAATTTGCTCCCAATAATTAGTCTGCTATTCTTTCATTAAATTGTCATCATTGCATTATAAGTTCTGCAAGCAAAATAACAAAGATATTAACTATAGATATATTATTTTTAAAAACATTCAAGCGAATGGTTTTCTTGCGACAAAGATATTCAGAATTTTAATATCGGCCGAAGGCACGCTACGTAAAACGAGCGCGGAAGCTTAAATGTAGCCACTTAAATGGCGTAAAAATCATGGTAATACTTCTATGGAAAATTTGTAATTTGCAAGGAGAAAATAAAAATCAAAAAGTTAAAAGTGGAAAAGTGTTAAAGCATCTTCACACATTTGCGGATATATCATGATAAAAAATTTTTATCCATAGATATATCTTTTTTTTTACTTCTTATTACAGCTCATCGGCGAATGCGTACCGTCACTAATTACTTCTTGGTGAATCTTTCCGTGGCGGATCTTATGATGTCATTGCTCAACTGCGCCTTCAACTTTATCTTCCTCCTCAACTCTAATTGGCCCTTCGGAGTAGTATATTGCACTATCAACAACTTCGTAGCACACGTGACTGTCACTTCCAGTGTTTTTACCCTCGTCGTAATTTCATTTGATAGGTAAGTTTTTATCAGGAAATCTTTTCATACATATCTCTTCCCATATCATATTATTTCCGATTCGGAATCTAATGTCATCAGATATGGATAATATCTGAGAATATTAATACATTTTTATATGGAAGGCCTTAATTTACGGAAACTATTTATTCGTTTTAACTCCTTTACTTCCAAGGACAAATAACTTACTTTATTTGAGATTCTATTTGAAGTCATTTTTGTAATTATATTAAAAAATATTTACTTTAGAGATTATCGCAAAAACTTATTCAATTAATGAAGTCATAGAAACGTAAGATTAATTTATATTTACAAAGTCAAGATTGAACAAAATTTTTTACGATTATGTGTGTGTGTGTGTTCTATCTTTTCTCTAATCTTTAGAACGCAATTAATGATTTACATGTACAAAAATATGTGCACAGGTGTACTTATATATTTACTTTAGTTTTAAATTATTTTCCTATTCTCTCAAAATTTATAGAGCTTGTTTTCTTACACGTTACGACCGTGGGGCTTAATTTTTCTTTCCTTCATCGATTTCTTTTGTATAAGATAAAACAACAGTTTTTCCGTCGACATACGCGGCTTTATGCTTAATCCTAAAATACGTCGAGAAAATGGAGACATACGAACACTGGCTTCCATAGATCCTTTTTAATGGTGACATGTGATAGAAAAGCTACTATTGCGTTGAAATCGCTGTTAACCATGAAGAAAATGCTTAAATCGCGATAGGAATATCGCGATTTGATTTTGGTATCATTTGTATTCAATCGATATTCAGTGCAGTTTCTGGCAGAGATAGTCAAATGTACTGGATCCCAACATGTATTTATTCGGGAAGCGAACAAGGTGTTCCACAAATGTACGATAATACGTTCCAATAAATCAACATTTTTTTTTACATCATATCGTTCTACTTTTATTAGTACCCAATGTGTGCATTCTTTCTTTTTCAAAGATATGTATAACACGCAATTTATATCATTGATATATCTTAAATACATCGTCATGCATATATGTGCTTAATCTTATATGACATAAACAAAACCGGTGCAACAAAATTTTTTTTGAATTTATAATATTTATTATAATATTTTATTTGTATATTGCAAGTAAATTTATAAAATATAAAATAATGCAAAATAAAAATGTCTTATAGTTATATAAAAAAAACTTTTTATTTTAAATAAGCTTTTCTTTAAATTATAGAGATGAATAAAGTATACAAACAATATATGTAAAAAATTATTTAATGTATTTTACACACACAGATCACTATTTATAAAAAATTTTTGCAATTAGTATAGTTTAATTATGAATACACATGCGTATATAACAGTCTCAATTACGAGACTTTTGAGAATTGCATGTATTACATATTCAGTTAAGTTAGAAATGTACATTTCTGGCTACACGATGTTGATGCATATCTAGATAACGGTACTTAGCATTATTAATCAGTGTCTGTGGTGTACTATGGATAGCGTTTACTCTCAGGCTAATTGAATTAATTAACATCTCAGGAAAATTCTCACTAATAAAAATGTTCTACCAGTTCAATATAATAGTATCCATTTGCAGTGAAAATAAGAAAAACATTACAAATATACGAAAGATAGTTTCTCTCTTTTTTCTTTTTTTCTATACTATTGAAAAACACGCTACAGTGATTTTTGTTTGTTAATATAAAATATAAAACTAAAAGACAATACTTGATACAAATTATAATGTTATATGTACAAATTTTAATGATTATAATTTATTTAATATATTATAAATGATAAAAAAATTTGAACTAATAATATAAATGTTTAATTCCAATGTAAACAGAAAACCAATTATTATAGCTTGTAATAAAGCTTTTGTCGATTAATAGAGAAAATAATTGCATACATGTTCAATTTTAGTGTAATCTGTATAGTTGTTTAATTACTTAACTGGTAAAACGTAACACGACGCAAAAAGAAAAGTTCCACAGTTAAATTATTTAATGATAAATTGCGCGCAGTGGAAATTGAAGCAGAAGTTGCGCAAAACTTTCAAGAATAGAAATAGGTAAGGGAATGGGTATAATGAACGCTAATTAATGTAGGAGAATCAGAATTGGCGTAAGTTAACTGTTATTAGAGTGAACAGTAGCTCAAATAAAAAAAATGGAAGTAATAGAAAGTGTGTACACACTACATTTGCATTTTCTTAAATAAGAAATTGTTGTGAGTTCAACTTGGTTTTTAACTTATTCTTATATATGTATATATTTGATACTAAGAATGTATTTTAGCATTAAAAAAATATCACTTAAAACACAATAGAACCGGCATTTAAGAAGATAGGATGATGAATTAAATTATCTTTTTCTGACATGCAGATTAATTAATTCAGCCGACAATTTGTTTTTTTGGCTTTAAGATTGCTTGTATTTGAAATAAAATAAACTTTAGTAATATAAAACAAACTTGATATTAGTTACTCAATTAAAATCAGATAAGCTAAGCAACATTTTTTTTACATTAGTAAAGAGATAAAATTAAAATAAATGTTTGATCAAGTAAGAAAATAATGAACCTTATGCCGATATATGGATTTATATACAAGTATTATATCAGAATGACGTAAAAGAAAATAAATCCAAATCCATAACTATAATAAACAAGTTCATTTGTATTTCAAAAATTTTTGTTAACAAATTTTCCGTCAACAATCAATCAATTAATAACGGTTCATTGAAAATAGAATCAATTTAATGATCGATCAACGTCAACAGCTAATAATTCGTCTCCCCGATATTAAAGTCTAATTGTAAGATATAAGACATTACGATATTTTATGTTTTACTGCATTTTAAATTATGTCTTATTCGCAAAAGACCAATACTTTTCAATATAAAAATATATGTAGTTAATTTTAGTAATAGTATATTATATTATAATGAAATTTATTCGTAATACAAAACACTTCTGTCCGTAATACGTATTGAATATTAAAGGATTTACTGTTTTGGAAATATCTCCTACGATATAATCAGAGTGGGAGGGGGAGGGGGAGTAGTACAAATAAATTATTTTAAACATCTCAAAGCATCAAAGATGCAATGCATTTCTGTGTTACGATGCCTTTCGTATGCTGATCATGAAAGGGAAATCGAAATTCGAAGTTCTGCATAGCTATGCTTTTCACGTGTTGCGGTTTGTGCATGTCGAATCGTTTCATGCTATCGAAAATTAGATCGAGTATCCATTGAAAATTTATTAGATACTACTCTGTAACTTTTATAATTTCGTAATGTGTCACACTTGCATATTTTTCGTTATGTTTAGTTGACTTATATAGTAACTAAATATAAGAAATATGACAAAGTTAACTATGACTTTTAATGTAAGAAAAATTATATATAATTTAATTACCGTGAAACAATAAAGTGACAAACAATAGAAAACTTATCTTTTAAACTATATTGTTGCTTTAATTAGAAATGTTTCTTAATTCTTAATTAATATTATTTGACTTCTTATTCTCTATTCTCTTGTGGTAGACGCACCAGCATTTTGTCTTGTAACGTAACTTAAAAATAATACTGAAGTAACTCAATTATATAATTAAAAATAAAAATTATAGAAATTAATTTTTTTACGTGTAATTTTATCATAAAATAATATTAATTTAAAATATTATATAGAATTGTTAGCCAAACTAATTTGTACTGTCAATAAATATAAATATAAAATTTTATGAAAAATTTATTATTAAATGAAATGCAAATCGCGATATTTTAATATTGCTATATAAATTACAAAAGAATAATAGATGTTATAATCAAATATTCTTCAAATTTAGTGAAATCTGTGATGTACTGTTACGGTAGAGAGAGAGAGAGAGAGTATTACTTAAAGCATGTATAATACATTATATATAAGTGAGTAGCCTGTAAATGATAGACACATACTATTTGCATAATGTGTCGATTTATTCTCTAAATAAATTAAGCATATCCAATTAATATTAAGCATATAAATTAAATCTCAAATAATTACAATAATAATTAACTGGCTAAGCTTTTGTAAAATAAAAGTTTCGATAATATTGATCAGAGAGCTAACAGCTAACCGAAAGTTAGACTTCTTTTTGAGATGCATTTATATTCAGATTTCGCATCTGTACGTGCTCACGTATATTAGTATTTCGACCTACCATGATAAATGACTTAATACGTTTTTGCAGACAACGCGTCGGTGTAGCCGTTTGCAAATTTGTTTCAGAATGCTAATTCTTATCGCGCGCGTAGAATACTATGTGTTTTCGCGACATCGAATGTCGAATGTTATGATTTCGACGACGCTTCCGAAATAATTTGCAATGGTAGTTCGCTACGCGTATATCCGAAAAAATCGCGCGGAAAACAATGCAGCCATTTTGTCCACGTCGCTTATTGTTCCAGCGTACAATGATGGAGTGACGGCTGCATTTCTATGCGATTAAAAGATGAGAGTCAGAGTGGAAATGCATTTTCGTGCTGATAAAATAAAAATATATAAAAATAAAATGAGAAGCTTTAATAAGTAATATAAAAACAAAAAGGCAACGAGCTATAATGAAAGTCAAGCGCAAATAACAGGCGCGAATAAATTATCTGCAAAAAATTTCTTTAATTATCCAGATAGACGGTTCCTTTTCGACTTGTCTTCAGTAAGTAATATATTAAAAATTGTATGCGCGCTCTACGACCTTCAAGCAATCTCAACGACTTCGACAAAAAAGATGGTAAGACTTTTATCGGTTTCAACTGCTAGAAACAACAATTCATAGGCGCAACAATATGACATTGCAAAAATGCCATCATGCGTAATGCAAAAATTCAAGAGAGACGAGGGGATGCGAAGAGATGGAAAGTATAGCTATAAAAACATCCTAATGATCGTTGAAGGATCGCTTTTTTTGCGCTTGGCTCTCATCAGTTTTCTGGTTCTTTTTATATAAAATATATTTTCTCTTAATTA